CTTCATAGCCTCTCCCTGGCTCTTATCTTCCCCTTCAAATGAGAAAACCTGGATGGCTTCTCAGGGCCCCTGTTTCTGCCTGGATGCTATCTCATTTGGTTTTAATATATTTATCCATTCATTATTGTTCCCTTTTATCAGCCTGCTAATATTGTTCATAATTTGTCCTTATCTGCAAGCCTGACAGTCAAATTTACACTCGGGCTCAGCAGACAGATGGAGAAATGACCCTTTTCCAACCCCTCCTTCCCCAACTCCTCTGCTCCTTTCATTCATCTCCTCCTCTCCAAACTCCAATGAAACATGACTGACAGCCCGCTGTATAAGTAGTTGTCATAGCAACCTCCCCATCCTTACGACAAGTACTTTTTCTCTACAGCGCACGCTCTCCCTCTGTCACAATATCTCTCACTCCTTCCATAATACTGCCTTTCCGCTGCAAATAATTGAGAAAGAGACAGTTAGAAAAGGGAAATTTGAAAACAAGGGAGCGCCTAAAGCTGTTGGTATGCTTTCCCTCCTCCCTTCACTCCCATTTCCATCCCATTCCCTTCCTGTCTCACGTCCCTTTGCTTCCTTCATCCTACCCACCGCTGACAATGATTTACCCACTCCAATGGTTTGCCTCTTTCATCCATCCTGGCTTATCAAGGACTACAGGACTGTATGCACAGCAACTTACAGTATGGGCTCATCACTCCCACTCTCCCACACATTTACTCTCTCCCTCTCTCTGCGTCTCTTCTTCCCCGGCTTCTCTCTTTTTTTCTTTTCATCTTGTTGCTCCAAAAACTCCCATTCTGCCCCATTGCTATTCACAAAGTCTCAATCCACTGTCAAATTCTTGCATAGTAATGTAGCGTAATCATCAAACGCAGCGCAATAAGTCTACAGTATATTAGACTGTGCTGGAGATGTGGTGTATTTTTGTTTATTGTGAAGAGGAGATTTTTTTTAAACTTCCAGTGGAAACAAAGAGAAGAAAGTATTGTGCTTTTGAGCTTGAGAACACACGCATGAGAAAGGGATTACTGCGCTATTGTTTGTCATGCACGTAGTTTAATGGTTAGGCAACAGCATGAAAAATTGAGATATGAAATATTACTGATTTAATTTGCTTTAGTGCTGTTAACTCTAAGAGTTCACGCAGGGCCAACATGCTTAGTCTGAAAAGTTTATATTGATTAGAGCAGCTTCAAATGGACCTATAAATCTTATAGGAAATCAATATTTATAACGAGACAGCACACTGCCAATTCATTATTCTGGAGTTTAATTTCCAATGCATTTATTCCAAACAAGCATCTGTTTAGTAACTCAGAGTAAATTAAACATGATGGGGAGGTGAATATCAGGACATCAGTGGTGTGTCACTGAAGTTGAATACAGTACTCTGCTACAGTGAGCTGTAAATGCATCTTAATGCCAGCATGCAGTACAGTTTTCACAGCGAACTTGCTGGTGGTTATTGGACCCCTGAATTCATTAGGTGATGATATTTCTTCTTAATAACTACAGAACCCGCAGAGTCTCTCTAATTTAATATGATATTCAACTTGACTAGGTTGCATTATGATGTAAGGAGACCACAATACAACTATTTTCCTCAGTTTTTCTGTGTTAAACTGCACAGTTGGAGCAATTTGCTAGCCTCGAACAGCTATTGCTAAGGCATGTGTTTTTAAAGGTAGTGAAAGAGGAATGCTAGTTGCTAGCAATTTTAGCCTTTTGCATTGTTTTACGGTTGTATGTGACCTAATATTCAGTTAAAACAGTACTCAGTCAGATACAGTCCACTTACAAGTAGCATTACCTGAGAAAGCTATTAAAAGCTGTCAGTGAATCACAAATTGAATTTAGTTTCTTTCTGATAAAGGATACACAGAGAGGTGCTCCTGAATTACTGTGACAACTGAAATCAACTGAACATGGTCCAGGAAGTACTGGACCAGATGCATAAAGGTCTGCGCAAAAACGGCTACTATTTTATGTATGCACAAAGGCAGAAGCATAAATACACATTCCTTTTATTAGACTTATAAAAGCATGCATAAGCATGGCACTCTTCTGAATCTCATCTTTAGCCATGAATTGGTAGATCGCTGTTTCTGTCAAAAGCTTTTTTTTTTACACTAAATATGAAAGAAAGATACTCTCTAGAAGAAATGGAGAAAGGGAAAAATTGAGTATTTCATCGTATTAGTTCGGGATTTATGAAAGAAGAGCATACAAAAAAACAAACAGTAAAGGGAAGAAGTAACAGAGGCTCTGCCAATTTATATCACTGTGTCCAGATTCTTTAAAAGAGCCAGATTCAGAAATGTAATGAAACAAGGTATTGACGAAACCAAAGGAAAAGACAACCTTTCCCCCCTCTGTTTAAATCAGTATCATTCACACAAACAGACATATGTATATAGCTTTGCACTGCAGTGAAAATGCAGATTATTTGTAATATGTGCTGCAGCTTGTAACACAGCAGTGATTAAACAAGAGATTAGTATTAACTACACTTGCAGCTAGCAGCGGCTTTGCAATTAGCAGCAGCCTTGGGTGCTGTGAGAGTTTTGTAGCTGCAGTTAGCGGATGGAAGTTAGCAGCAATAGCAGTCGGCAGCACTCAGGCGGGTTAAGGTGATTACCGAGAAAATGTCAATACTCTGTAGTTACAAGATAGTTAACAGTGGGGCATGCACTCATGTGTATACTGTGCGTGTGGTCATGGGGGGAGAGCTGTTATCTCTAATCCGTTGTATCAGGGGATGCAAGGGTATCCTTGTTTCTCCGTCTAATTTTTTTCTCCCTCCCTTTGTCCCTCATTTGTTCGTTTTTTTTCCTCCCCTGTCAGATATCTGTAAATGACTGTAGGTGTTTTCACTCTGTTTGTGTCTGTTTGCACACCGCCTGTGCTGCAGCGTTGTAGATAAATGAGATAATGTTTCTATTGGCAATGAACACAAGACCTGAATTCCCAAGGGAGCGTTTTAGTTGAGAGCAGCCAGAGCAGAATCCTAGACAGTGGAACAGATCTACTAGATGATCTGTTTTCATGCATTGTTAGCTTGTTTTCAAAGCACATTTATGTTCCACAACATGTACTCCATCTCTTTCTCTCTCGCAGCTGCAGATTAGGAACTTCTGCTAAATACAAAAGAAGCAGATACTCTGCAGTCACCATCTGCCCATGTCTCCATACCTCTGTCACACATAATGCAAAAATAAATTAGAATAAACACAATTTTAAAAGACAATAACACTGTGAGGCTTTTGTGTAATTCACTGTGAACTGATATTGTGATACAATAAAGAATGAAAGGCACAGAACTGTTAAAGGTTCTGCACTGGTACTTTTCAGACCCACATAAGCTACTACCTAGAGCCAAAGTAGGTACAGTAGGAGCTCAGATGGCCTCCTCTCTGTCACAGGACCGTATGTAAGATTTGGTCTGACGGCATTCAGGGAAATATGTGCAGTCCAGCCCCATCCCCCACTCTTGACTCATCTCGCTGATCCAACCTCAGAATTTATATTCTCCCTCCAGCAAAAGGAAGGACCATCTTGGCCTTTCATTTTCCAGTTCAGGGCTTTTCTTTTTTTGCAGATAAATGCTCTCCAATCCACCCTGACAGATGTCACATTGCATCACTTCCATTTTGATACATAGCCTCTGATCCTGCCACTTGCAATAAGGAGCCGGCACCAGGGATGCCCCTCCCTAGACAACGCTCTGACACGGGTGATTATTTTAAAGGTGCATCATTGGGGTTGCTGAGCGCTGAAACCGAAGCTGGGCGCCATGTCCATACACACTCTCTGCCGTGCTCGCTGCAGGAATGTGGGTATCGGCTCGGCTCAGGGTCAGAGAGCAGCAACGGCACGACACAATCGATAGCCGTCGCAGGTCACCTCGACACCGGGCAATACCCCTGGCGGCGATTTTTTTGCTGCTCTCGAGCTGCTAGTCCTGCCTCTCACTCAGTCTCCTGTGATGGCACAGGTCAGTGTTGGAGAAACAATCTGTATAAAAGGAAGATTTTTAGAGCTTCTGCTGCCAACTGAGACATGCTGCACTGTGGCATTAATCATGGAAGGCCAGAGTACATCAGTAAACACAGCGTGTCAGGTCAAGGTAAAGATCAGATCCCAAAGCATTTAACAGGACTCGGTGGCGTACGGGCTATCTGTTGAAAAGTCAGCGTTATTCATGGCGTGTCTCCCAGCCTTCGTTGCTCACTGGAGAGACACGCCATTGTTCACTGAAGAGCACACTGAAATATTTCTCTGGCTGCACAAAAAACACTGGATCAGCAGCAATTAGTAGAGTAAGAGAGAGATAAAGGGAGGAAGGGAGGGAGGCGGGCAGTTGAAAAAGAATGAGGGGAAAAATGTAGAATCAGCGAGAGAATAAGAACGCAGGAAAGAGATAGATGAATAAAGGGGAAGGAGAAAGAGTGAGTAAAAGAAAGAGAAAGAGGGAGAGAACTGGAGCTTTCAGCCAGTACAGTGTGGTGTGTAGGAGGTTAGAGCTGCCTGGAGCCCCTTCCTGCTTTTAAAAGGACCAAAGACTCTCTCATTGTCTTGGGTCTCTGTGGCTGCGTGTGTGAGCATGTGAGAAACCTCTTCATTAGTCTACCATTTCCCTCCTTTCTTCTTTCCAGCCCCTGACCACTCACTTACCCCCTGCTGCTATAGTATATGTGCCCACATGGGACTAAACCCACTTATAGTGGAGATTTAAAATGATCAGTCTGGGGAAAGAGATAATACAATGTGACTCGAGGCCAACCTGCACTAAATAAACTAGACAGTTACTTTACTGTACCGAGGCTCCGCAAAAGTGTCTTTGTTCCTGCGGAAAATGAGACTTCCTTTTTAAATTGCTGTCTCTGTTCCACCAACGGTGACTCTACTGTACATTTCACTATTGTATGCTCTTAAATTGGTTTCATAATTGAGGTCAAAGTTGTAATGTAATCTTTTGACTCTTGTTTTTGTTCCAGAAGACAGGAAGTTGTTTGTTGGGATGCTGAACAAACAACAGACCGAGGAGGATGTCTACCGCCTCTTCGAGCCTTACGGAGTCATCGAAGAGTGCACGGTCCTAAGAGGTCCTGACGGAAACAGCAAAGGTAAGAGCTGTGATACAGCTGACAGCATTATTTAGGTCACTGACAAAGAAGTGACAGTGCATCCGAGTGTGTGTGTCAGCTGCGGTGTCTCAAATCTGTGCGGCACATCCATCAGATATAGGTCAAGTAGCCCGACTGATTAATTGATGTTAAAAATTTAACGTTATGTTGTTTGGGACACGGGATTGTCAAAGTCTAATAGTTTCTAAAAGATGCCATATTTAAATTTATCGTTACTCTAATTAGGACAATGTTTTTGCTTTTAGTCTTGCTACTAGTCCTGGAAAACCCAGCTCTCTCACCACATGTGATATCTTGCTGTGATCCCACCTAATTCAGCAATGATTTAAAAATTACCCTGTTGGCTTTGCAAACACTTTTTCAGTATTTACCTGAATTTCCTGCATAACAAAATCCCAGTCATTATCCTGCTGCTGTCTATTGTTTTGAATGTACCGCTGGACTTTACGCAGGTACTAAAGTGTTGATATCCCGAAGCCCTTTCTGAGATAGCCATGCAACAAAGAGCAAAGAGACCAGTGGTTTTTCATGTCTCTAAAGCCTATTCCCCAGCCGGCGCTTATGGAAATCGTTATGGAATTATATCTAAAAGGGTTTGAAGAACATTCTGACTCTGCAGTACGCTGGAGGAGGAGAAAAGAAAGACGGATGTCAAAACGATTCAAGTGTCCCCACTGTGGGGATGGGAACGAGTTGCATTCTTCTTTGTGGCTGTGCAGTATTTATGCTCCGTCTAAGTTAACTGTCAACACTCAAGTCATTATCCTCTATTACATCATCACAATTCTTTTTTTCTGGTAATGGCTGAGAGTATCATTTGAAAGTCTTTCTATAGCAATAATTATTAGTAGTAGTAGTAGCAGTAGCAGTACTAGTAGTATAATTATATCATATCAAATAAAAAAAACATCTAAACAAGTGAAAAAAAATTCATCACCATGTTGCATCTCAAAGTCCTGTGATAGAAAATGACATGTAGAGAATATTTTATGCTTCCTCACCGCTTCACACGTTCAGTTTTTTTAGTTTATTTAAAAAGGTGCAGGAAGTGTTAAATGCATAATTATACTGATGTATGGTTTGTACTACTGTGGCAAAATCCTTGTCCAGGTCATCGCGAGCTCTAGCCCCGATCTATTCATATCTCAATAGGGGGGGCAGTGCTTTGACAGCTGAATGGGCATCGTGATAGGCTGGTGTCCATAGGCGTAAGCCCATTAACAGAGGAAGAATGGCAGGGTGACTGGGTCAAGCAGAGAAGATGATAAGGAGACTGACAGTATGACAGATTAAATAATTTTAAAAAAGGAAACTTAACATGAAAAAATGAAATTAGGTGAAATGGGGTGTAATTATAAAAGGACACGGTGGCTCAGTGGATAGTCCTGCTAGCTCAGACAACAGACCCAGATTTAGTCCGCATGTGTTTCTGTGTCAGTTGCTCGGCATCTTTATTCGCTCTAGCTTTCTCACATTTTAATAAACTGAGCTCAGAGACCTGCATGAGCAGTCGGCTGGACAGTTACTGCAAGTTTCACAGAGAATGCATTTTCTTTTGTCTTGAATTAGATGGTGATGCATCTTTTAGTTTCTGCCCCTTCAATCATTTCTACTAAGGGTACTTTCTTGGTTGATTTTGAAAGAAAAAGGTATCATAGCCAGACCCTAAAGAGAGAAAATCATAGTTCTTTAAGGACAGTACAGCAAAGAGGTTTGATTGTTTCGGGCCTTGTTCAAATCAGAAGAAGCGATCAGAACATCTTGTCGTAGAAACAATTAATTGTTCTGAGAACCTAGATGGTTTGCTAGTTAAGTTTAGCCAGTTTAGCTCGTGTTTAATATGCACAGACAGGCATGTGGTGCTAAATAGCATGCTTTTCTGCTTCATCAGTGCAATCTCTTGCCTGCAGCTTCTGCCTGCTTGTCTGCCTGCCTAATGCCTGGAGTTGGGCAGCCTGCTGTGCAATGAGAGGCTCTCACTGCACAGCGATTTCTGTGGTGTCAAATATAATTCAACTATTATTATTATTAATTTATTAATATATTGTACACTGTTAAAGGCTCACTTGAGTGAACACTGTACAGGATATACAATATATTTCTCTCTATATTAATATATACATGTGTAAATGTACTTCTTTGTATGTTTGTGTGTGTTTACCTGTGTGCGGTGTGCATCTGCTCTTTCTTCCAGGTTGCGCCTTCGTTAAGTTCTCCACACACACCGAGGCTCAGTCTGCAATCAGCGCGCTCCACGGCAGCCAGACTATGCCAGTGAGTACAGCTGTCTCCCTCATATAAAAGCACAGAAACCCACTCAGGCCACAAAGCATCTGTAACATCCACAACACTTCAATAGCTGCAGTCCACGTGTCTTGCTATGGAGCTTTAAATTCTCAGCTTCGACGTTTGAATCAACTGAATCCATCTTTATAAATATGGCAGATTTTTAAAAAAGATCCAAAAACAAATATTCTGCTGTCTTTGTAATTAACGCGGTACTTGAAAAAAATCCTAATCTGATTTCCAGATAAAACTGTTTAGAGTGATAATTGAATTTTGGATGAGTCATCAATCAGTAGTTCTGTTTGCATAATCAGTGGATAGAACCCCAGTGTGAGATTACATTAGCTCCTTATGTAAGCACACTGTGTCCTCTGAATTCTCTCCGCACTAGCTTTACTGCGAGCACAAAAAGCTGTACTGCTCATTTGTATGTGTCTCGTGTTTAAGCAGGGTCCCTGTATACCTGATTGTGTCAAAATAAAAGCTACTTACTCTGCACTTCAAACCTGAATAGAGTTATTCTCCATGACATTCGGCGAGCGGACAGAGAGTCATGACTTGTTTTATACAGTAGCCTGAAGTATACTTTGCTTTCATCCTCGTTTTTGTTTCGGCAGCTCTCGTCTCAGAAAGGCTGGGACAGTGAACTCCCTCCCACCCTATCTCACAGGTGTTGTGTTTCACTGTATGATTTCATTATTAATGGTTGCCAATGTGTGGCTCGAGAGAGAGGAGCAGAGAGAACCACTTGAAGCCAGCTGTGCCATTTTGGCGCAACCTCTGAGTCAATCTAAGTGCAAATGACTGCAGGTCATGAGGAAAGACTCTGGATGTCCATTTTCCATAGATACCCTCCTTCTGTGTTGCTCCATTCCCCTATCTCTGCTACCTCTCTGCCCTCGCTCGTCTCTCTTTGGCAGCCTCTCGGGATATTAGGCAATAGACTTGTTTACTCCACCTTTCACCACATTGGCTGCTGAATTATTCATCCAACTATAAGCAGGGTGCTGAAAGGATGAGGGGGGGAGACTTGGAGAGAGAGGGAGAATGAGACAGAGAGCGAGGGGGCAGAGAGAGAATGAGTGAATGGACAGGATTTATACCTCCTGCTCTGGTAAATTGATTATAGAAATCTGATCAGCATCTCATATCCTGTGGCTGCTGGAGGAGCAGGCACAGTGCGCCTGCCTTGCTGAGATTAGTGGACCTCCGATGGTCTATTATGCCTCAGCAGGACAGTTCTATTCAGAGCAGCGTGTCCGTCAGTGTAGCAAAGATCCTGGAAAAAACATGGGCCGCACATCCTGTGTGTTAATTTAACATCGTTTCGATTGCAGTCGAGCCACAACTGCAAAAAGAAGTCATGTACAAGCATGTTAACTGAATGAAAAAGCATTTATTTACCAAATGTTGAGGTGGATTAAAAATGAAGAAATCAAACAAAGAAATAAATGCCACTGACAGCCAAAGAGACAGAGAATTTATTATCAGGCAAATCAAAGAAGCAATTCCCTCATTCCTTCATATTTCAGTCAAAAAGATGACAATAATAAAGACCTATAGCAGCAGTGGCTGAGGTGTACCGCACAGAATATTAACACTACAGCAAATGAACGCCAGCGCCCCAGAGCATGAACACTTGCTTCTTAGATTTTATGCGTGTGCACACAGACGTACACGAATGCATGTGTGCGCATGCATAAATATCTACAAATAGAAGCACTTTGTGGGTAAAACATTTGCATGAGCACATGCATGCACACTCGTTCTATACCGCTCACTGCCACATCCACGTCCAGCCACGGACTAGGGTCAAAGGCTCCCTGACTGATCTTATTTTCCAGCTCGGAGGACTTGAGCTGAATACATTTGTGTTATTCATGTAGAGAAGGAGTGGGCATTTTGTATGTATTAATCTGTGTGTGAGTTGGAAATGAAAAAGGAAATCTGCATCAAGAGACTGCATGAAGAGTGCTGGCCGCTGCATGCTTAGAAGTCCATTGTGAGCGTACATACACTTGCATTTGTTCCATATGTGGAACTACCCATCCGGCATCAGCGGCCGATCACACTCTAACCCATCATAATTCAAGCATAAATATCTCTTCTCACGTATACTCTGCCACCATCCCTTGATCACCAGCTGCTATCGCTGGTGTGCACGCACCACCAAAGTTCAGGCCACGAGTGCCTCAATTAAACATTTAAATTCTAGCGCTGTAGAGCAAATTGCTGGAATTCAGCAGGGTGATGTAGGAAGAAAGTCTCAGGACAAAATTACACAGAGATGACGGGGGTGTGGGTCAGGTCCGCAGAGCCATGCTGATTTTTTTTTTCACTCCGTATGCGCAGCAGCTGAGTTCGAGGCAGTTTCAGCTGACACAGGAACTGAGATATAAGCAGCAGAGCAGGATGATGGAAGGATAAGCGCACAACAAAAGAAAGCAAATGAGGTAACGCTTGCTTAGAAGAGAGAGCTAGATGATTGAGAGTGCAAGAGAAGAAAAAAGAAGAAGTTTAAAATTCATCTAAATGTGATTCCCCATCTCCTGAATCTTGTCAGTTACTTCAGACAGAGAACAGAGTACATATGCAAGTGCTACGAGTGCCAGGATTTAATACCCAATAAGGCACGTCTTTTAATGAAATGAAAGAGGCAGCCGATGCAGCGGTATACATATAAATACTGGCATAAGTAATAATCTTGTTGTGTACTCAATGAAATGTGGAGTGTTAATGTCAGTCTTTCACAGGGTTGATTAATCTTTGTGTTGCTGCTCCCTAAACAACATTCTGCTTTTATTTAAGTTAGGTCTTTAATTTCAATCAGTATTGTTTCTAGCAACTCAATTTACATTCTAATAACCAAACAAGTTCCCAGTCATCCATTATTATAAGAGCTAAGCTTGAATAGAAGTCCATTTATCCTTCTATGGCTAGCTGGGGTAGTGTAATGGTTGACCTCACTGGAAAAACAACCATAGAGTAGCTCCGTGCAAATGCCAAAAATTAATAGTTATATCATATAAGAGTACTCTATACAGCTTTAGTATAATTCTGAACATGAGTGAAGGAAATGCCTTTCACCGTGTATTTAGAACAAACTACGGAGATCCTGGACATTCGTGTTCTCTGCAGGTTCCTCCTACAGTCCAAAGATCGCCATGTTAGGTTAACTGAGCTGCAGCAAAGGTACTGACACAGACTAGGAACAGAGAGCATATTTCTCCTATATTGGCTTCCCTTCACTGGCTCCCTGTTAAATCCAGAATCAAATTTAAAATCCTGCTCCTCACATACAAGGTCCTGAATAATCAGGCCCCATCTTATCTTAAAGATCTCATAGCACCATATCACCCCAACGGAGCACTTCGCTCTCAGACTGCAGGCTTACATAGAGTATTTAAAAGTAGAATGGGAGGCAGAGCCTTCAACTTTTAGACCCTTCTCCTGGATTCAGGAGACAGACACTATCTAGATTAGGCTTAAAACTTTCCTTTTTGCTAAAGAATATAGTTAGGGCTGGATCAGGTGACCCTGAATCCTCCTTTAGTTATGCTGCATAGGTGTAGGCTGCTGAGGGATTCCCAGTGTTTCTTCTTCATTCACCTTTTTTACTCACTGTGTTTTTACACTTCTCTTTCACAGTGTGCCTCTGTCCTGTCTTCCTCCTTTCACTCCGACCGCTCACAGGAGATGGTTTGGGTTTCCTGTGGTTCTCTTTAGTATTGTAGGGCATCTACATAACAACATAAGTGCCTTGAGGCACCTGTTATTATGACTTGGCGCTTAATTATTAAAAGTGCCGTAAATTCTGTTAACTGGTGATTGTAAATCAGCCATAGGTGTGAATATGAGTGTGACTGGTGCCAATGGTGAGGCCCTGTAACAGACTGCCACTCTACTTGTATAAAAACTAGACAAAGGAAAGATTATACAGAAAATGTACATGTAATCAAATTACATAAAGTCAGTATGCATATTTTGAAATATTCTTTGAGTTTTGTTAAAAGATTGCATATATTAAATTAGTAACTCAATGTTACTAATTAAATTTTTTCAGATCTTTAGTTAGTTAGAAATGATTGAAAAGTTGAATGAATGACTGAATGACCTGCTGCGACTAACTGAGTAACAAAATTAGCAATTTGACAGATTTTGGCACTCGCATTAAAGAGATTTAAAGCTCTCCGTAGACTCTTCTTTTTACAGTCGGAATAACTTACTCCTATTAATAAAGTGTTTTGTGTCATTAATACACTTTTCTTTTATATCCATCTTTCCATCACACTGAATTATGGTTTGTAGCGAGCTGAAGCCCGTCACGGCGTTTGAAAACACTGGACAGGAGGCTTAGGATGTTCTGATCCTGAGATGCTTTGGCTGTGAAAATATGTTAATACCAAGTACCAATGTGATACCAGTGTTTAAGTTTAGTGTGTTTTCCTCACTGTGAGAAAGAAATGTTAAATTATACTTTACATATAAGGAAACATCAGCAGATTCTGAATATATAAATATAAATTTTCTGAATTGTTGGTATGAAAAATCTAACTTATGTGCACCTGTCTTATTTCAGATCAGCGCGAGAGTCATTAGTCTGCTGAAATCTGCTGTCATTTACAGTCACAGCAGTTTCTCCTTTCCTCCTCACGAGGGTGCGGAGCTGACAGGAGGCAGCTGAAATGCAATCACATTTAACATACATGTTGCTGCGTTGACAACAACAAGTTGTGTTACTGCAAGTATAATTAGAACTTACACCAAACCAACATCCTTCGAGCTTCCTGCTGACCAAACATGATGAGTGAAAGTAAAAGAGTGACTCAGAGAGGGTGAAACTATCACCATCTGCTTTTTTTCAGCTCACAGTTTGCAGTTAAATTTGAAAAAAAAAACCAACAACATATAAACAGAAGCTGTTGCCTTCAAACTCCTGACATCCTGTTGTGGACAGGTTGCTGGACCATGGCAGAGCTTCTTAAAATAAATGTGAAAAACATTCCGACTGTATTATGTTGATTTGGAGTGTTGTAAAAATTTTAAAGTATTTCTTAATAGGTGTGCGAACAAAGTTACAGCATGACTAACCCCAAAATACAGTAACACCATAAAGGTCTTCACTGTGAGACACTTGAAGCCAAGACACAGACTGTATCTCCCAGTACTGGACGGAGAACCAATCTTCCTTCTAAGTTATCAAATGCAAGCAGGCATTAAAGTTAAAAGAATATGAAATATATATCACTAGGTATGAGGCTTTATCTCCTTCATTCACATGAGGGTTTGCAGCTTGTGCAGCTTGAGCAGACACCAACACAACCATCCTTGGCAACGAGAAGAAGCCATAAAGAGGCAGACTTTCCTTTTGGTTCTAAGTCTCTGTAGTAGCTTTTTATCCTTCCTGTTTAACTCCCGCTTCTTCAGTGGCTCTCTAGGCAGCTGGGAGACACCCGGCAGGGGGATTCTGCTCACACTTGGCAGCTTAAAAATTTAATGAGACTTTCACTTCACACTTCATCCTCTTCTCTTTATAGCAATGGAGATTCTGCTCGCTGATATCCTGACAGGCCTAAATGGGAAAACCTCTGAGATAAACAAATGTGGCAATGGACGCTTAGCCGACAAGCCATAAAATTTACGTGTCCTTAGGAGAAACAGTGGGAGGGCAGTCTCAGTGTAGAGACCTTGAAAAAAAGCTTTGCAGCTAGTGGGACATACATGCAAGCGTATGAAAGCAAATGGCACAAGGCCCTTGTATAATAAGACAGGCCAATAAACTTTGTTTCTCAAGAAGGGACACTTTAGTTCTAGATGGCAAAGGGCTGACTGCAAAGTTCCAACTTAATCTCCTTAACCAGAGGAAAAGCTCATAGTTCTCATTACCAAAGAGCGACCTTAAATAGCTTCTTTAACTGTGAAGGCGAGGTAAAATATTCAATATATACTAGAGCATCTTGTCTGTATTCTGCTGCACACTCCCAAAGTTAAACCTCATAGCAAGGTTAATCGTACAGATAGTAAAATGCTCGACAACAACAAACGCTAAACTTGCAATTGTGTCACTGTCAACCTTGAAGTGTCTCTGCTTAGTGTTAATATATGAGGTTTTGCTTAAGAGATTGAGAAGCATTAAGAATTTTTTTATTGTGTTTTTCTATCTCTTGTTTCTGTATTTGTTATAGAATCGTATATGAGTCAGAGTGAATGCAAGGCGTCTTATTCCCATCTGATAGAATTGCATTAGCACTGCACAAGCTAATTTCTCATTAGCCAGAGCCAGTAAGTGCTCAATTCGTCTGTTAGCCAACTAGCCTGCCAGTCAGTCAGTCACTCAACTAGCTATACAGTCAGTCTTTTAGTCACACAGCCGACTAACCAACTGACCATTGACATATAGTACTGCAAGCCTGTAATTCAACCAGTGAGTTGGTCTGGAGGAGAGGGCTTGTGGGAATATTGAGAAATGTGGGGAGCAAGGGAAAGGAAGAACATAAAATCCATACAGTCGAAAAGGTCCAATGCCTGTCTTTGACCGTTTTTTGCTGTCTGTAGATATCTTTATTAGAGCGATACCTCAGTAAGGGAAAACACACAGAAAAGAGCATAATAAAGTCAAATTAATTATGCAATAATAACCTGCTAATGCAGATGCCATTTGTAACTATGCACCTGTTGTCCAACACAGCTTCTTCGATATTTGACTCAGATCCAAAACATTACCGCCTTTAGAAGTTTGAAAACTATAACCCAGGCAGGCGCTTTACCAGTCACCACTGCTATTGACAATCTTGCATCAATTTCAGGGAGCCTCTTATCGTGACTGACACACAACCTTTCTACACTGTCAGATCAGAGTAATATTTCGGCCTTTTATGTGGATCGATTGGCCTGTTTGGGGGCGCAGAGGGGAGGAGAGGCGGAGCACACAAAAGGTCAACTGTAGCGCTAAATCATTTGAAGATTCTTTAATGAAGGGTGTGTGGCAGACACACCTGCTGGTTTCATTATTGGGCTGCAAAAAAGGGGTAATAGTTTTGATATAGGAATGAATTGCCAAAGACACAGAAACGAGGAGAAGACTCAAACGGAAGCTGGGCAGAAGGAGAGAAATCGCCTTGAAAAGAAGAATTTTCTTTGAAGAGCACTTCTACCCAGGCCAGTAGGAACTGCTGTGCATTGCAGATCTTTTAACCTTAACAAAGTAGCTCTGTTGTTACATATATGTACTGTACCGGATAGGGAAAAGCCTGGAAGGGCGTGAGGGATATAAACTATTTATGATATAAACAGTGAGTCGGCTTTGCCCTGCGTGACTTTGTGTATGTCTCTCTCTGACTGAAAGAAAGCAGGCTGATCCTGTCTGCATATCTGAGCTTTTCACTCAATAAATAGAACATTTTTATTCTTAACGCAGCTGTCCGTTTCATGTTTATGTATGCCAGCCACAATTTTCTGCAGTAATGAAAAGCAAATCTCTGACACACAATTAGAGATGCTCACTAGGTATCGATGTTAACAGCAGTTGTTGTTGCAAATGAACATGGCAGACTAAGAAATTTGAAATAATAACCACTAACGTCCTTAATGCAGTTTTTTTTTAAGTGTTGGTTCACAGCTGTCTCTAAATGTGTAGTTAATCATAAATGCAAATTTTCTCAAGGCCTTTTGCGTATATGTATGTACCACGTTCATTTGCTGAGTGTAAGTGTGAGGGCTACATGGAGTTAAGTGGCTGTTTGTTCCCTCATCTGATTTCTTCCCCTTTTTTTTTTTCTTTCCTTCTTACTCACTCAGGGTGCTTCCTCTAGCTTGGTGGTCAAATTTGCCGACACAGACAAGGAGCGCACCATCAGACGTATGCAGCAGATGGTTGGGCAGTTTGGCATCTTTAACCCAGCCATCGCCCTTCCCTTCAGCACCTACAGCTCTTACGCACATGCGGTGAGTTGGAAAAGGCATATGTAGCACACACAGTAGACTTTAAAGGGAGAAACAATAAGATTATATTTCATTTTATGCATGGATAATGGATCTTATTACTTTGTGGTACACATACTTAAAATTTTAGTAGCAGTGAGTTTCATATTCTGGCAATGTTTCACATCTTCACTCTCAAACAATGACATTTTAAAGGATTTGATATACTGTACCTAACACTGGAAGAAAAATGTTAAAAATATTTTATGTGCTATCATTAATCACCATAAGCATGTATTTGCATTTGAGTATGCAGAATCTGTAGGCAAGGAATAAGCGATGTGGCGACTGGAAATCATAGAAAGTCAGTAGCATTCAGCGAGTCCAAGTGGCTCCAACTTCAATTTTTCTCAATATCGAGGCAGTTAAAGCGACTATCAACAAAAACAAGCCACGATGTATTTCACCATCTGACGAGGTAGTAAACATATTACAGGGTCCAGCCACTATGTCGTTCCCCTCATGGTGGAACTGTTTTGCTTTAAAACTCTTATTTGATCATTTTTAGCCACAGCAGGCATTGGATAAAACAGAGCAATTAACTTGCTTTTAACTCGTACATAGTGGCACATTTATCAGCTGAAAAGACAGAAATGTGGTAAACAGCAGACCAGAGTGACTACAATGGCCTCATTCATCGGTGGCTGGAAACGCTCAGCATAAATTCTACTTTTGATTAATACAAAGCGACATTAACTCTTTATCAAGTAGACATAAAGCTAATTAATTTTTGACTTATTAACCTGAAAGGCAATATATTAAAGTGCTGCGCTCGCAGTATCTTCTGTATTGGGGGCAGTTGTTTACACTGCCCCCAAGTGGCCATAAGATATGTGAAATCTTCTTTGATTCAAGAATTTGTTCCAACAGCCAATGAAAGCTGCAGATGGTAGATATTATATTTGGAGCCAACATCTGGAGAATTTATACCCTTGTGCCATCATCATAACTAATTTCATTTAAAACAATTAGATTTTAGGTATGAAGGCAGAATAACAAAATAGTGTAATTTTAATGTGGCTTGGACTCCATTTTTTCCAGTATAAATCTACAAAAATTCTGAAATCAAAGTTCTAAAAAAGGGAAACATGTTGGTGGTTTGAACGTAGGCTTTTTAACATCTTTTACTTAATCCATGTTGGGATGATGACTGACCAAAGAGTTAGAATTTACATCAGTCACACAGGCAAAGAATTAAATGAGGATTCCGCTGTTGCAGTGAAACGTCTTTGAGCGAATTCACTGCACGCAGACTCTTTGTTCGCTGCTTTTTTCCCTGTTTTTCCTTACTTAGCGGATATTGTTGTAGGTGAAAATTAGCCTGGCAAACTATCATCACTGCCATCAACACCACTTTCAGCTCTTCTACTCTTAAACAGTACTGCCATTCCATTAGTGCCTGGATTTCAGCACTCTCAGCACGTAGACGCGCACACATTTGGTTAGCTTGTACCCTCCAACCCCTTCATCAGCTTCACTCTGCCCTCCCACCACCGCCCACCCACCCCCCCAGGGCATGGCACCATACACGCACACAGCAGACCCTCGGCTCTTTGATGAGTTCAGACAGCCTGTGCAGCCCCTCTCACCAATCGCCCCCTCTACCCACTATCACACTGCTTCTCTACCCTTCCCCTCTCCCTCCCACTGTCCCTCCCTCTGGGCCCATGAGATGCTTCAGGGGACACAGTTGACTCAGAATATTCCATGGGCAACTTATCTGCACACAAACTTTCTTCTCTCCTGCTGAGGCAGAGCACACACATGCACCCCCTCAGTGCATATGCCACCGCATGCACACACAGACACACTAACTACTTGAAGAAAACTAAAATCAATTGAATTGGGTTGGATGAAATGCTTTCCGTCCGACTCTGTGATAAATACCTGGGCTTTAGTCGCCTAAATGCACGGGATCATCTGTGGAAAATATAATTTACAAAGAAGGAGCAGTGCAAAATCATCTTCTCCTGTACTTACTTGGTTGTTAAAGTTAAATATTTTTTCCAATTTCTAAATGCTAGGATTAATTGTTGATGTTAGCCGGGTCTTGGGGGCTTATCCATTTCCCTCATTTTCATATCACAGCCATGGGACCCACTGTGAAATGTGCAAATTGACCATCCCCGAGTAATTGCAAGGCCATCTCTTGTGCTCTCTCCAGTAAAACTCCCACCTTCATTACCATTCATGAAATGCAGCCCTTTCCCAGAAAATGTGGAGAAATGCAAATGTTTAAGGGGTGGTGGAGGCAGTAGCGGTCTGCAGGGAGACCATTGTGCCCCGCACAGGTTGGCCATGACTCTTATTTACTGTGGCACAGACCCGTGTCGACTCATACAGGCACACACAAGAGTATACACACTCACGCACAGTGCGCAGTAAATGCTCTTTCTCACTCCCCTCCCCACCCCCCCTCATATATACATATAATACGACAAACAGCAGGATGATGCGAGGAAATTGAGTTCGGAGTGAACGTAACAAGGGCACGGGGGATACTTTGGCATTAGAGAGAATCAATTACCATTAAATCTAAAGGAGAAATTGCACATATATGGTTTCTTGACAGAAAGATTACACAGCATGAAAGATGTTAGTGAAGGTGAAATTCTCCTTTGTATTATGTATGCTATGTAATAGCATATAATCACTTTGCCAAAATAAAGAAAGTTGGTTTAGAAACGCTGAGGCAGGCCAACCTTGGAGATAAACTCATTCCAGCTTTTGATAAAGTAATGAGTGTGCAACAGACAGCAATGGATTATCAGCAAGGCGCTTATTTTCATATCTTCCTTACTAAATGAATCTAAATACTGGTAGGGTCTGTTAGGTAAGAAATAATGTGGAATAAAGAGGAATATTAGTTATCTTGCATGCAGGTGTGCAGCAGTTATGAGTACAGTTGCATCACTGGTGCTGACTAAATGCACGCGGCATGCAGCCTTGCTTCGCCTGTAGCCACAAGGAGGGTGCTGAAACGATACGATGAATGTTTCTTTGCTGCAAGATAAACTACATATATTCCCCAAAGACCAAAAAGCTGCAGTGACAGAAAAAAAAAAGAGTTTATCTCTAAAGACATGCTATGCGTTTTCCTACTCTCCATATACACTAGCCAAGAGAAGAAGAGGTGGCACGGTATGGAATACAGACATTGGGAAAGCTTGTATATATAGTCATAACCATCAAATACAGTAAATGGTAAATTCAAAGAGCTACCTCTCCACTACAGCAGTGGATAGGATTATAGAGTTGAGCTGACAGCCAGTAAATTGGATTTTAGTCAAACCAGGAGGAGGAGGGGGCTCTGAACACAAATTGGAGGGGGTACAACACTGACAACATATGCCAAAAATGAGAAATGTGCCATTTTCACGATCGACACAGACACCGGTGTGCTCTGACAGGAGACATCCTATTTGCAAAAGGTGATTTTATAAAACACAAGGCAAAGGAAAACGAGAGTGAGATTCCATGTTTCAGTCCAGCGTTAGTGATGAGTTATAATAGTTCTCCCGTGAAACGCTGAATGCGAGTGGTAAAACCAGCTTTTATTGCTTTTTGTATTTCCCCTTCACGACACAAACATCACATTGGCACACAGCGAGATTTGACAAAAGTCACTTTTCTTCTCTCATCATCTTAAGTGGCGTCTCTTTGTGAGGCTGGCCGTTTCAGCTTTCCCTGGTTCCTCTGTGTTTGAGTTAAAGTGAGAAGTTTCCTCCAGCACTTTGGCCGCCTTGCCTCCCTCAAAGATGCATTAGACAGAGCGTGAGATAGCTAAACTAGAGGAAAGCAAATGGTTTAACTTGGTGCTAATAGTGACAGTGTGTGGGTGGATCAGAAGGGAGAATGATGGCTATAAACTCACATTAGGAAACATCTCCCCCTGTTGGAGGGACTCGCATTCAAAAGGCACACATGAGAAATGATGGTTACAGATTACTGCATCATTTGGCTGTACTATAAACTGCCCCCGCACGTATACACCAGCATGTGTGTGGCCTGATTTCACTGTGAGGACAGGCTTTGGACAGCTCCTGCATGCGTCTAGACACACACACATACACGGTACAGCAAAGTGCATCAGAGATGAAAGAACCTATTATAATCTTTCTGTGAAAATACAGCCTTCGAGCATGGCGGTAACAAATGAGGCCCTTGAGTTTTATCCTTCAGTCTTTTAGTTATCCTCATTGACCCACTGTCTCTCTCGCGCACTTATTATTTTTTTTCCAACCTATTTCACCCCCTCTCTCTCCTCCCCTCTCGCTCCGTCACTGGCTGGTTGGGCTATAAGGGGTCACATGTGACAGTGCTGAGAGTCAGCGAGTCACAGAGCAGCGCTACAGAGATAATTGCCATGTGATAAAGAGGTGATTGCCTGCTAGCACCAGGGGAGAGTAATGCCATCAGGTTGCAATAAAAAAGCAGATGTCTGACACTAAATGAATGTTGCTGGAGCCTGGGCAACTTTCTTTGCTCCCTTTCATCTCGCACGTTTCTCTTTTGTCCCCGTTGTTTCTGTCCGCCTGTTCCTTTCCTCTTCCGAGAGGAAAAGAAAAATGGAAGAAAAGGTTGAGTCTGATGATGATGAAGACTCAGTTGTGCTCATTCTTTGTCAGAGACATTTGCTATCTGTTGGGTAGTGCATAAATAAAGGAAGAGGAATGGCTTTTGAATATAATGCCTTTGAAATTTTGCACAAAAGGAAGGGGGAAAGCGTAGACATATGAAACATAAAATGGAATGACTTTGAAAATTTCAGTCAACATAACCACTCTGGTCTTTATTTTATTTATTATTAAAGACCAGAGTGTAATAACCACTGCTTTCCAACATAACTGCATGCTTCAGTTTCCAATTTGCTGGTATGAATTGATTTGCTGAAGCATCAATTAATTCGAGAGCTGCTATCCATGACAATCTGACGGCCGGCATGAAGGATTGCATTATCTAAAACATGCCTTGGGAGAGAAGATAGTATTCTGGGCATGCCAATATTTACTTCCACTGCGTTATTACAGCATCCGGACCTGCAGGTTGTACAAGGTCACAGGGCTGCCAATGGGTTCAAGCTTATTAGAGTCATCCCAAAGTCCCTGGTACCTCAAGACTAAATAAATAAATAAACAATAGGTGGTGTTTCAGTAAGACTCTTCCTCCTGATGTCCAACCCTGTTCACGTCCTAATAGGAGGGCAATCACAAAATTGCCAAAGCAAGTGAGCCCTAGAACCTCTGGACCTATTTGTTTCTATGCCATTGCTTTTGTTTAGTTTCTTGTTCCATTTCAGGCTCTTTCAGCTATATCCTCTTAAAGCCTCAATTCATCTTATTTGGAAAGAAATGGATGATCCCCATTTGTCATGCTGATAAAATTATGCAAATGACAAAAGGCGTTAATAGATAGCAATGGCAAGGCATGTGGTTAATGGATGAGATGCCAGCACTGGGCATTCTACAGCAGGACAGCTGCTTTCAGGTTACCTGACAGGGGCACTAAGGGAAAATAATTGGCTTTTCCGTTGCAGAGTCCACATGCAAATACAAGCAGAGTGACATTCTATACCTTCGCTGTCTCACAATGTCATCATTAGCATTAGTCCCAGTGGCGGAGGAGTTTGATTTCTGCTCATACGAGTCTCAGGCCATGGCCATCGGTTGCTCTCCAAAGAGATACAAGCTATGCAGTATTAAACAGATGCAGAGGCGAGGGCAAGAAGCTGGTCCAGCTGTGTTTGTATTCCTATACCGCACAGTTCTGCATGTCTGATGGGAAGCTTCACAGCCTGCAAAAGATTGTTGAATCCCCAGATAAACCCACAGGTTCACAAACTGTACACATGAATGTACCAAGATGGATTTTCTTCTGATTTCAGTATTCAGCTTGGGGTTTGCACAGGAAGAGTTTAAGTTAAGCGCAGAAGCTCGAATATTCTCTGTCATGCATGTTGTGTGAACAGGTGAGTATATGTGTGGGTGCACTTCAAGGCAGCGGTGCATGTGAGCATTTCCTGTGCACATGAATAAGCACTCTGCGTTTGATGGAAAATAGCTTCAGCGCTCACTTCTTACTTCATGCTAAGCAGAAATGCAGAGCGGATGAAAGACTATTGATTTGATCTCTTTGTGGGATCGGCCAGTGGGTGAAAATTGACTGCTATTAACCAACTGACTGTATATTACTAACATAGTCTGAAACCCGAGTTGCTCGCTAAGCTGACATTAAAACATTCGTTTGATGAGTCGCAGTCTGAAAACAGAGTCAAACAACATTTTCGGCAATGAATAACTTTTCCGTGGCAAAGACTTTGGTCATTTACTGAAATCCCAATCCCAAATATATTCCGCCTTTTGTTTTGTTACTGGTTTCTGCCTGAATTAAAAAACAAGAGAAACTTAAAATATGGATGAATGTCAGGATACATCATCACAAATACATCACAGAAATTAGGAACGAGTCCGAGGAGCAGGGGGAGGGGACGTCTGTGGCATTTCTATAGCTACAGCAAACAGTATTGTGAAGTTTGACAATTGTAAGGGGGGAAAAAAGCATTGCAACTCTGCAAACTTTGCCTGTTCCCTGAGTACAGAGATAATGTGCACATGTCAATGCCTTGATTTGTGTGAGCCCAACAGACAGCTATTAAATCGTTTCTGCAGCTGGTGACAGGCTTCCAGCTGGGAGGAGAGACAGATTCACTAAACATAGGTTGACAGGCTTCTTTTTTCTTCTCTTTCTTTTATTCCGCTCTACTTTCTCTGTACTTTTCATGCACTATCCATCCATCAAACTCAACATACATCCCTCCCCTCTGTTCTACCCGTGCTATGTTTCTCTCTTGCACTCCTTCTCCCGTCATTTTTTGACTACTTTGCAACTTACTATATTTTTCATTACCATCTGTCCTCCCCTGACCTTTCTTACATCCCTTCTACCTGCTGCTCCCTCCTGTCTCACACGCCCCATCCGACCATCCTTTCCTCCACCCATCTCTCCGTGTCCCTCTTCTTCAGCTCATGCAGCAGCAGGCAGCCATCATGGCAGCAAGCCACGGAGGTTACCTCACGCCTAGTGTGGCTTTCCCCGCCACACAGATCCACCAGATGGGGGCGCTCAACATCAACAGCCTCCCGCCCACCCCCATGACCCCGGTGTCGGGTGAGTTTCATCAAACCCTGGGTGAGCAAACAGTTTCATTCCCTTTCCTCTTGCTTATGCTTGTTTCTTTGTACCAGACCAGTGAATGGAACATGCCTGTATGTGCATTTACATGTTAGCCTTTATGTGCACAAGCCAAACGAAAGCGTGCCTCATTTCTGGTGATCCAAAATGATTCCTCTGGAGGGAGAAAAAATGAATAAAAAAGTGGGATTTGCATGTTTATGTTGTTTGTGAATGCTAACAATATTTGGGGTTAGTGTAGTAGCAGCAGAAGAAGGAATATCAATAAGTAACTTTACAGATAAGCCGCTAATTTCCCCGTAGTATTTTGACCTTGTGCTTTGAAGCACTTGTGCATGATCTGCATGCACTTGGTTTTGTTTTCCATAACAAACACCTCCTATGCAGATCCATTACAGAGGAAAGGGAAGGACTTTGAAACACCTACCTACTGCCTAACATTTGCTTATTCAGCAGTGTTTCATTTTTCTTGAGACAGAGAGAACTTCAAGATTCTCCACTCAACAAAAGCATGAGCCAAAATAAATAATACAGTAGCAAAGTCTTTGTTGTGCTCCCCTCATCTACTTTGCCAACACTGCAGTATTGAGTTTTTAAGGTGATGTCTTTGGTAACTTTAAACCAGTCAGTGTGAGCATCATCAGCACAACAAGGCCTAGTTTAGGGTTTTCTTTATAGGCATCATAAGAATCCCGTTTCTGCAGAAATTGCTGTGCTTTATCAAATTCCTGCTGAACTGCAGTTTACATTGGGGAAAAAAAAAAAAGTTGGTATTTTTTTTAATTTACAATTTTTCTGTCGTCCAGCTTAACACAACCAACAGTCAGTTGGATTAATAAGTGAGAAAATGAAATGTTAGGGACTCTTCTTAACCATTAAATTTACTCTTTAAAATCAATTTATATACATTTACAAAAAGTGAAAGAATGGAACATGGCAGTGGGCACACATGCCGTATGTGTAACGTATAATTTTCACCTTCAGCAAATATATCCAGAGAGGAGACCCATTTGTCAAAAATGCACAGTGATGTTTTCAGTGCAGTGTGTGCACTTTTGGGGTGGCCGTAATCAATCCGAGACAGTGATTAAATGTGGAGCTAAGCGTTGCTGAGAAACTCATATTTTGATGCGTATACCTCTGACAGTGCTCGAATTCACATCTTTGTGTTCAGCATGCATACCTGTATTTGGCAACACAATAGTGCTGATGAAAGACAGTGCAACTGAAAGGCTAGGAACATCTCTCCCTGCCTCCCTGCCCTTCTATCTTCCCCTATCTCTGCGTGTGCGTGTGTGTCCGTGTATACATAGCTTTGTGGGGACCAAAAATCGGAAGTTTACGATGCTTGTGGGGACCAACAGCCCTTCCCATGAGTTTGAAGACATTTTTCAGACTCAAAATGTGGTTTTAGTGTCAGGGTTACAATTGGGTTACAGTTAGGTTTAGGCTGAGGGTAAGGATTAGGTTTTTGATGGTAAGGGTAAGCGGCTAGGGAATGCATTATGTCAATTAAATGTCCCCACAAAGATATGAAAACACATTGTGTGTGTGTCTGTGTGTGTGAGGGCTTTGTCCAGTCTCTTCTCTTCTGCACTGAAAATCAGTGTCTAACTCTAAAGGAAGTAATGCTGATTTTGCTTTTGTCTGTAATTCAGTGTTATAGATAGTTATCAGTTCTTGGGAAAACAGTAGAGAGCAAGATATTTGTGGTCATGGGGCATAAGAGGAGAATCACAAGTGTCTTTAAGCCCGTGATCCTGATGTGTATGAAGTGGTGCTATTTATGTAATTTTGACCATGCCTCTATGCAAGCTTCCATTCACTGATTAACTTTTCTTATTGCATGTAATACATTTTTAATCCCTGAGAGAAATCATCAATTTCGTGAAGTTCCAAGGACTTTCATTAATATAAAATATCTTATTTCTCCTTTCTTCATTGGTTATTATGAGTGTGGTTGCCAGCAGTTGCAGCAGTGGTAGACTAACTTGCTGCTTTGGTATACACAGCTATTTTCTCTCTCCCTTCTCACACTTGTGGCTATGACTTATTTAGAGTTCATTGAATACATAACATTACTGGCAAGGCTGTCTGTATAAGTAGGCCAAGAGACTCTGACACTACTGAGAGACTGTAGGATGTCTGCCACGAGTCAGTGGAATTATTCATTGTAATATCAGAATCTGTTTTTTGGGGTCTGGGAGCACAGCGCTTCTCTGCTTCAACAGAGGTTTAATTTATGCATTAAGACGTCTCATCAGCTTAATTAAATTCTGACATTTGGCAGTTGTGTACAAAAGCATAAAAGGTAGAAAGGTTAATGTCCCCTTTCCTTGTGAAATGAGAGCTATTACCTATTGATAGCCATACTACTGCCTTTCTGAGTGACACATACTGCTCTGCATTAACATAAAGCTCCAATAATGGTTTTATAGATGAAAACCCTTCCCGATCTTGGGATAAAAGTGTGATGTGACACTAGTCTTTTATTTAAATGATCTCCATAACCTCTGCAACATACCAAACCTTGTTTGACAGCAGGCTTAAGTACAAAGAGGCTCCGAGGTTAAGGGTGTTACCCTGAAAACAATGAGACATCCATTTGATCAACAGATGCACAGCATTTAAGCTTGATGGTGCATAAGCCGTTTGCCAGATGGTTCAGCTGATTAGAGCATGTATCCTTACAATGATGCATGATGATGCTTTTTGAAAATAATGTTCACCAGGTGCCGCTCCCTGAGTGCTGCAGAAGAAATAAAAGTTAAACAAAAGAAGAGAGAGAAAGGAAGGGGGAGATAAAGAGGGTGAGGGAGGAGAGGAAGGAGAAATGGAGAGAGATGTGAATCCCGCTGGGTATATGTGGTGAGGAACACGCAGTGTCAAGAATGCTTTGTTAGGATGTGAGAAGTGTGTAATCAAAGTCGCTCTAATGTTCTGTTGCATGGTGCTGCTCTACACTGAAGATGTGCATGCACAAGTGCATATTACACAAAGTATAGTGCAGATGCTCCACAGCAAGAGACGAGCCCGTTACACTTAGAGCCAGCCCGAATGTGCCACAACATCCCTGCTGGATTCAAACATGGCTGCACCATGGATACGGAACACTTCGGTGGTGACAAAGCACCAGGAAACTAATGAGCTGTTTGACGTGATGATCTTTCTTAATGCCACCTGTCCTCTATGGCTTCCTTGCACTGGCAAGGACTAATTCTAACACAAACAATCAAAGGACAGTTAAGCGAAGATATTTATTTAGAATAAAGCGTCAACTATCCTTCACGTTTAGATCAAAACATCACATCCAAGGATAGCGACAGAGCCAAAGGAAACAGCTGGAAAGATGAATACCTGTGTGTCCCAAGTGATGGTGTGACCTCGAGCTTTCAGTCCTTCTTAGTCTGAAATATGCTTTTACTCTAAGTGCTTTCTTTAAGGCTGTAGAGATGTCTTTCCAGTGCAGGCAAAGGTAAAAAAAAAAAATTTTAAAAAAATGGCTTGTTTTTCATGACACTTTGTCTGACGGATGAGTTGCCATTGTTCCTTAAATGCAAGTGTTTCTTCTCAGCTTTTAGATTAAACCATGACTCTGGCATCAAAATAATGACATTTCTCAAAATTAGAAGTGAGCAAAAGGTAGCCCTTTTTCTGTTGCCTTCAAGTTTGTTCAGAGGCCACAGGCACTCCTCTTGCCTTGACCAGATTTGATCTCCGGTGCACGCAGGCAGTGGAGCTTCACAAGCTGCCCAGCTGGTCTGCTCAGGCATCTGAAAGCCAGGCACATTGCTTTGGTCAGTGTATTGAATGCATATGAGCTTCAGAAGTAGAGCAGGAAGCACTGGAGGCTTAGTAGTCTGGAAGGTTTTTGTTTTTGTTTTATTATCTAATATTTATTTAGTAATAAATGATTTGTCGAGTTTCACATAGTTTCATTTTAATATCAGCTGAAAAAATATGTTATAATATTTTTTCATATAAACTAAAGCAAATTAAGATTGTATATCACATGATTATACATTTAGAGGTTGGAATCCTTTTTCTGGCGGCTCACTTTGCTCATTGCAGTGTGCAGGGAAATAAATTGTGTGGTCTAGAAGTGTGTGTTTACGCTTGCCTGAAAGGCTTGGAGGTCTCTCTCTGTTATCTGTCCAGCTCTGTACTTGGGGAACTTGTTTCATATTTGAATTGCAGTTTGGAGGAAGATTCTGTACGAGAAGGTGCTGCTGAGCCTAGAGTGCAAATGAGTCTGGAAATAGATTAGCATTGCATATAACATATGGTCAGGGGATCCTTTCAGTAGTTGCATTTTTATTAATTTTATCAAGCATGCCAAAGTGAGGACTGTAAGTGAAGCACCCTCAAAGACACTATAGATATGCGATTTACAGACTGTGGCTCAAACTGTGGCCACTGGTTTCTCCCCATGAGGAAGATGTTGATTAGGTGTTTGAACTTTTACGCTATGGGATTTGTTCCCAACAGATGCTAGACGCTGGCATCATTAAAGTGCAGTTCAATCTTTGCTGGAATCCTTTTCCTCAGGTGTATTGTGTGTTAGATCCCAGTCTGCTGTTGGATTTTTTTCAGTTTCTTGTTTGTTTAGCTCTCATTTGCCGTTTTTATTTTAAATATCACTTGTGCTGTTTCATATATTTTTACCTTCTGTACTCATGTTCCCACCCACCCATTGTGAATACCTGACCTGCCGTAGTTCATGCCAACCTTGTCCTTCCCTTTCATCTGTATGCTGCCTTTTTTCCTTATGTGAATAATGTTCCACACATTTTTCTTTCTGCATAACTTCCGTTTCAAACTTTTCCTTGCATTATTTCCGTACTGCTGCCTCCAGTGTTTTTTCTATGTACTAAAAATCTACCATGAGTAAGAATTTTTTCTTTTTTTTGGAGTTCCATGCTTTTGAGTCTTTCTTCTGTTGGAATTTCATCACGTATCATATGTACTCAGTATAACAAAACTAAAGTAGCCCCAGGATCTGTAAAGTGGAGCTAATGTTGATGTTCCTTAAACTTGCCTTCCTTTCGATGACCAACAGTAAAGTTAGTATAAAATTTAATGCAGGAGCTGCTCTGCTTCTCGCTTGGTTTATAATCTCATTGCACATTTTCTTCTTGAATTTATGTTTTCAATCGCCATTCTTCAAGTCTTATTTAGTAAAGAAGGATGATTGTTTTTAGAATAAACAAAAATAGACAGTCAATGGTTACTCTCAGTCGGAATGTCCCCACATAGCAAAAATGGTTTGGCCCCAATCTGGACCACACAATGTGCTTACACGTCCCCACATATCGCAAAGAATAACGGCCCTTTGGTGGCCAGGATCTGGTTTGCCAGAGGTGGCCCACAAATGGGCCAGTTGTAGAAACACTGCTGGCCCTGTGATGCCCCAGATGACAGCCTAATGTGTACCTTAATCAAACCATGTAATAACAACAAGTGGCGGAACATAATAGTGCAAAAGTAACATGGCAAATCTCCATTCAGACAATGAATGGAATGATTCTTATATAGCACTTTCCTATTCTCCAGGATTCCTCAAAGTGCTCTATACAACATGCCACATTCACCCAGTCACACACTTTCTCTAAACTGAGTGCTTCCTAACCACATTCATACTCTAGCAGAGACTGGGTTCGAACCACTAACCTTCCTATCAGTAGGTGGCCTGCTGATAGGAGGAAAGGAAAGATGAGTAAACCGTCACTAGGTTTTCGATAAAGTTTACACTCACAAACCTGTCAAATCTGTATTTGAAACGTTGGCTACCACAGCAGTATAGTATTGCAACATGGCATTTGGGTCTGCTCACTAAAATAGGAAAATAGGAACATAAATAGTGCCATCATTGCCAGACCTGGCCCACATCTGGTTGACATACACCCTGCCATGACACCAGTCAGTCAGAAGTGTCAGCTTGATGCTGGATCCGGGCCAGACCTGTTTTCTATGGGCCTGGGCCACATAAACAAAACCATAATCTACTTCAGGCCTGTCCCATATCTGGATGACATACGTCTTATCATGCCAGAAGTCAGCCAGCAGTGCTGGCTTGATACCAGATCCGGGCCAGACCTGCTTGCTATGTGAGTCTTTGATGGCCACCATGTTGAAGTTGTCACTTCATAATGGAAGTTCAGAAACCATAGTGGCTATGTCCACTGCAATTTTACTAGTATTTATTTTTTACCCTGGCTATTATTTGGTTATTTGTTTGGGCTCACTGCTACTTAAGCCAGAAAAGCTGTTGCGGCACGGCTGATCAGAGTTAAGTCATCAGCGTACACTTGCATTTTCAAAACAATTTATTAAATGATCTGTGGAGATGACAAGCAAGGGGGAGGATTTCACAAATAATTAGCGTACTGACTGAAAACTACTTATGTGCTTTGAAATATTCACTAGATGAAAAATTATATTAAACTCTGTAACAATAAAACAAATTCATTTGGAAGTTCATTTGTTTTGTGTCACACTTGATTTGCTTTATAAATATTTATTCCTTATCTAAAGGGCAGTATTGAAAGTCAGAGTTCTTCTTAGGATCACAACTGGACTTTGTGAGGGTGGGGGTAGCTTTCAGTGTTATTCACAGAAGACAGACATTTTCTCTTTGACTCTAAATGCGTCGCATTTCAAATCAGTTAGATGAAAGCATCTGTTTTGAGTACTTATTACTTGCTCTGGCAAAAGACAGTCCTTCTGCCGGTAATGACTGCACTCTCCAGTTTGGGTATAGCATTCCTTGTTGATTTCAATATATAATTAGCATAATAAATACTTCTGTTGCATGTGAAGCCTTTTTCTCCTTAGCAAGGAGCAAATCAACTGTTTTTCCCTCTAAGAAGAAGCTTTCAAGAAGATGAGAGTAATTTTGCTTCCACAATATAAATATATGTATTGGACAAACACATATGGATACTGTTTAGCGTTGCAGTGTTCCTTGGTGAAGTCATAAAGAACAGTAAATTTATAGTTCAGAGCAAAATGTATGGAATATGTAATCCTCTGTCCTACAGCTTTGTATTCACTCATGCCAGAGTGAAGAACAACATGTCATTACAGCCTGATAATTGCAAAACATCCTGACAGCCACATGTATATCAGCGCTCTTGGGTGCGCATTGTAAACAAGCTATGAATGCAGTTTTTCACAATGCAAGAACTATGTGTCCACTGAGGGATAAAATGAAAATATCTAGTTCAGGAGACTTAGTAATATTTCCCTTTTTCACTCTTTACTGACTGTGGTGCGATAATATAGTGTTTATAAGACTTCTGTTCATTCCTTGCTGTGGCATTTCCAACATGATGAACAGACTGGACTCAGTGGCCCCAATCTGCGACTTCTCTCGTGTGTTCTCCTTCAGTACCGATGTCATATGTAATTGCTGACCTCGGAACTTATGAAATTGCACATAAGGGGTCCGTGCTACCACCGAGTACTTCTTCTGCTGCTACTCCTGCTATCACTGCACAACTGCTGCAAATACATAGGCGTGTGCTCCCACACTATGGCTAAGGCTTGGAAAATGAATTTGCCTGATGATGGAGAGGGTGCATTATCTGGTGGTACAGTAAAGTGCGTGTGGCCTGAGCAGACTGGCTGTCTCTAGCCCTCAGAATAGGAGCGGCGCTCTCCTGGGTCCTGGTAGGAGAATGGGCTGAAGCTGCAGTCTAATTCATCACAGCTCTGCAGGAAACAAGCAATCATGGGGAGGCTTCATAAAAAAAGAGATAAAAAAAAAAAAGTAAAAGAAAATCAGTGCAAAAGACACAACAGCTCTCGCTGGACTGGGGCAACTCCCCTGGTCACTGCATCTGCCTCCTCCACTGTCAGCTTCCTCGTGGTTTAAATGCTGAGACAGGGAGAGACGATGGAGAATAAAACAGAGTAGGAGAGGTGAGGATTGAAGACAAAGGGGCAATTATTGATAGAAAGCAATAAAAATAATCCAACATAGATGATAGGAGTCAGCAGTAGGAGGTTTCAGCTGGTAATGTAGTTTTGGGGTGATGTAATGCTTTTGAGTAAGACCCCAGCTCTGGTGATACTGCGTCTTTTTGTTTGCATTGCCACATATCTCAGTGTACAATTTGCGTGAGCTGGTTGTGATTGTGTACTCTATCTAATCTACTCATAAGAAGTCCCTTATCGAGGTCCCAGATTGTGGAAATATGGCACGCTGAAGGGTTTCTGTGACAACCTGGGCTTTCTGTCCAATCAGGGCGAGGGCTTTGAGATTGAGAGGTGGTCCTCGGGGGAGCTGTACTTCAATGAGCTTGGATGCTTTGCCACATTGAAGCGCTTTTAGAGAGACCATCACAAAGTGAGATTCTGCTGAGAATGGGCACTTTGACGTCCCCGCCATAATTGGAAGCACTTTCTAAAGGAGGGTCCTTTTTAAAATGCATTGAATGACAGAGAACACGGAGCATCCAATTTTGATTCCACTCATGAACCCTTCTGCAGCTGCCTTTCAGGCGTGCGCCATATATGTTATGACCCACCCATTTGTCAAACTGCCAACTGTTGTTCTTTTGTCTTCTTTTTTTTTTTTATGATGTGTAAAAGTACGAGACATCTTTGTGTATTTGCTACCTGCTCATTCAAGCAAATCTCCCCCTGTAATCTTCTTCTATCTAGTCTAGATCTGTTTCGCCTTTTTCTTTTCTTTTCTTTTTTTTTCTCAGAAGTTGCATAGTGGTTTCATCATCTTGAGCAGTACAAGCCAGCAGGGTATCGCACAAACACTACAGACAGGCTCATTTTTCACAGGTTGACTCCCCAGCTATCCTGCAGGATGTGTCACGACAAACGGCGGATATGTGACAGATTCACGTTGCACCCGTGTCCTTGCATTAGAGAGAAGACACAGTGTAGCTCGTGGTCACGAGTTTTGTGTGTTTAATGTGTGAGTGTGTGCGTGTGTGTACAGAGAACTGTTTTTCTCGGTACTTTATGAGAAAAAGGGTGTCTGCCTGCTAGTGTAAGTCTGAGTGCTGTACAACTCTTGTAGTATTATGCGCAGAGATCCAGATGAAGTGCTCAACAGCCAACCTTTTTCCCAGCAGGCCTCAGTTCTCCACCAGCCAACATCACCACCTCCGCTGTACCCAGCATCGTCACGCCTATCGTCAACGGATTCACCGGCATCCCTCATCAGCCCAACGGACACCCTGCCGTGGAGACCGTTTACACCAACGGCCTGCCGCCCTACTCCACCCAGAGCCCCACTGCTGCCGACACCCTCCAGCAAGCCTTCACTGGTGTACAGCAGTACACAGGTAGGAGACAGAACGGCTTTGTTTACGATTCTGTTATTCTGAGGTTTTGCACTGGCGTGTAAACACTATAAATGAGTAGCAGCTATGAGACAATAACTGCAGGCTATGTGGTGCGTGAGTAGCGTGAGGTGGTATGTATTCAGATAGTGTAGGACAGCGCCTCAGAACGAAACATCAGAGAGGCTTTGATTACGTGTTACGCTTGTGTGATCGACCTTAAGCATCCTTGACACCGTTCTCTGTGGGATCCCCGATTTTACACTCATCTCTCTCACATTCCCTCCTTCCTTCCTTGTTCTACTGCTTCGCGTCCGCAGCGATCTACCCGGCCACTACGCTGACTCCCATTGGCCAAACGCTGCCCCAACCAGCACAGGTCATCCAGCAGCAGCAGCAGAGAGAAGGTGAGGGTGAGAGAACATTATTGCTTTTACACTTCACATGCCTCATACTTTGTAATGGCTAAACGGGGAGACGAGCACGAGAGACCAGCCTTGCTTTGCTTTTACACTGTACACACTTCATTTTGAGTCTTGTTGTACAGCGAGAGAAGAAAAACACTCTAACATCATTTTCATTGTGTTTAATAGATAAACAGAGCAGACTGTGTGAGACTGTAAACAGGTCTCGTCTCGACATAAAGCATGGGGATTGATGTAGAGTAGTATTATAGTAATATATAGTAATAGTGATAAGTAATAGCATATCTTTTATAATAGCCAGCTGTGACAGTAAGTGTGGATGAAACACACATATAAACAACATCAATGAAAATATGGTTGCAGGCAAATTGGGACAGCTTATTTGAAGATTTTCAGCTTGCAATGTGATGATTTTAATAAACTCCTGTTGCGTTTTTATTAAATAAAATATATAAAATAGCAACACATAATGTATATTTTAATTATGATTTGAGCCTGTGCCAGGTGTATGCAGGAACGGTGAAGATACATCTAAAGGCCACATATGAAGGAATCATGAGAGTGGATGCTCATGCATGAATGCTCATTGCAGCCTGTACTGTCTAATTCTACCAATGTTAATTAATCATTTATTTATTTTTTGTATGATGGGTAGTGCCACATATGTCTGAGACAGCTCTTTGCACATATTCTGTATTTATTTTGGGTGATATGTAGGTCTGAAAAAGACAAACTGACTGCTGTTTCTCTCTTTTTCTATCAAACTTTCGCTGTATCTCTGCAACCAGGTCCAGAGGGTTGTAACCTGTTCATCTACCACCTGCCACAGGAGTTTGGAGACAATGAACTCATGCAAATGTTTCTGCCCTTCGGTACCGTCATCTCCTCTAAGGTCTTCATGGACAGGGCAACCAACCAGAGCAAGTGCTTTGGTGAGTCCTACAGTGCAACATGCACACAGTCCAAGACCAACTTGATATAATATGAAATTATATCAAGTCAATTTGTATTGACCCCGGCTTGAGAGATAAAGACACTTGGTTCTGAATAAATCTAATAATAATAAATCAGTCTTGGTGTATACAGGTTAAATAGTAAAATGTTTGTCTTTTCTTTATTTTCAAACACACAACACTAAATTTTTTATATATATAATGTATATACCATTGCCTCTGATGACATTTGACAGCTCACAGACCTGGAGGACTGAGCGATCTTACCCCTGACAGACTGACCTAATTTTGCATCTTGATGACTGTTGTGTTTTGGCACCGGCGCTTTTAAAGCAATGCGCAGAGTACATTGCAGCCAAAATAATCGGGATGTAGTCGATCAGACCGCACGTCCTTGTTTCTGCTTGCCGGCTGTGTGACCTGGAAACCTTGAGGTGCTGCATCAGCATCCTCATCACCATTGTGTAACCCCAATATCTGTCAATACCTTCACCGCTGAGGCTGATTCACACATTTCCACACCTCTTGTCCCATTTAGCTCTGGCAGCCTACATGCGCGTCCAACCCCAGGGCTTACAAAAAGGCAGGCAGTGATGGTTGAGGGGAAGGAAGGAAAAGGACAATTATAGATCAGCTTTTGTTTTCACTTCAGGGAACCAAAGAACCTTGGGCGAAATTGATCACCAGTTCCGTCTCCCTTGGGGGACTTAATAATATATAAATTCATGAAAGAGGAGCTATTTGCAGTATTGACTTATGCACTATGCATTTACAACATAATGTTAGGCCTGGGGAAGGAGGGAACACGTGTGTAATTAATCTAGAAAGGAGAAAGAGGGAATAAACTTAGATTGATGGGGTGTAAAAGACAGAGAAACTGAGCTTAGACCTCTAAACGGGTATCTCCTCTCTGTTTCTAGCCTGAACGCATTAAGGTGATGGCGGGTTAGGAGGTCACCTCCTTATCCCGCCTCTATACTTTCTTCAGACTTCCGTTCAGCTCGGCTCTTAGTAGCGCAACTTTTCCCCCGTAATGGGCCAAACCTGAGCCAAGCAGGCCATGTAGACTCCCTCCCATGTGGTGGTGGACGTGGAGAGCCTCCTGCTGTTTTTTTCATGGGTCATCAGCTGTTCCTAATGACACCACAGACACAGCGGAGCGCATCAGCGGAGACACACTCCACTGAAATTTCTGGTCACTGAATTCTCAAGGCTTTATTTTTACACATGATGGAAACAGGATGTTCATAGGTTTGAGGAGGTGGTTTATCGCGGGGAGGTTTTGTGTGTCTGCAGCAGATTTGTCTCCTATGATCATCGTTCTGTGTTTCCTCTTGTTTTGATCAAACTCATTTATTCAGTGATTTTTTTTCTCTTTCACTCATTCACAGGTCAGAAAATTAAAAGAATAGCACTGAGTCAATGAAACTTTGTAGGCGTGTTAACCCTCAGTCATTAAATTTCGAAGGTTCAAAATCCACGCAGCTGTAAAGAAAGTGCCTGCATGCTATAAAATATAACATTTATTTTGAGTTAGGGTCATTGGTTCTCTGCACTGTTTCATCATTTTATTACACCGCACAAAATCAACAAATGCATGCTTCTTATCCAAATCCTGGACATGTCTTCATCTCTGAATGCAGCTTAATATTATATTCCCAAATAAAAACAGTCAACTAGGAGAGAGCGTGAGCGCAGAGCGATGTCGTTTGGCAGTAACAGCCCCAAACTTTTCGTGGCCTATTTTTCATTAAAAAGCCACCTCGTGTCCGGCTGTCACGAGCTCTGAGCAGCTGTTAGGCCACACCGCAGTCGTTCCTGCATCAATAACACCATCTAGACTTCCGTTAGAGGTACACAGGACGTGATGAGGAAACCAACAGAACACTTACATTTTCATTATGATTGCCTTTTTTTCCACCCGTTTCTTTTTTAACAGAGTAATTTACAGTAAATATTATTCATAAAAAATTACTAAAATTCTCCCCTAAATGCTTGTTATAAAGTGCCTACATTAGGGCTGTGCGATATGACCAAAATCTCATATCCCGGTATAAAACATCTATAGTCCGATAACGATATAAATCACAAAAAATGTAATATTTTCTGTAAATTCTGTGAATCTCGGGTAGGTGAAGTGTTTCCAGCTGGGCGTCATGTAGCTGGAGTCGAGTGTTTTAACCGATGCATGAAACTACACATTTTTAGACATAGGTTGTAAGGCCGCCATTTTTTTCGTGAGTATTTATTACACGGCGTGCTGCGGGGAAAGCCTGTTCTAACGTTTGAGTCTAAGGTTTATTTTTTAGCACCTGACGACTTTTTTTTGCTTCTCATCCATCAATACTCTGCATACTTTTTCATGTGATTCCGTTTATTTTGAAAATTCTCAACAGCATCTTGAGCTTTATTGTGAAAGGTTTATGTGGAAAATAAACAAGCGGACATGCGATGGTTTTACCATCGTTGTTGCTAACGACAACGCATAAAAACAGGCGCTTGTCCGTCTGTAGTGTGGTTATATTAAATATAAGAGAAAGAGAGGACTTTAAGAAATGAATATAGCCGCTACAGTGACCATCAAAACGATGAAAAAATATTGCCGTAAACAGTTTATTTTGCGATACCACGAAACAAACGATAGCGTAAAATGAAACATAGACGTTTTTATATCGTCATCCGATATATATCGTTATATCGAACAGCCCTAGCCTACATTATTCTTAGTTAGTGTAAATGAAGTTTTGCTTTTCTTACACAGGTTTTGTGAGCTTCGACAACCCTGCTAGCGCACAGGCAGCTATTCAAGCCATGAATGGCTTTCAGATTGGGATGAAGAGGTTGAAAGTCCAGTTAAAGAGACCGAAGGATGCCAGCCGCCCTTACTGACACAGCCTACCTTCAGTATTCATCGCAGCAGCACAGGTGAGCCCATAAGAGTATTGCTGATTTTCACCACTCTGTCCTTTTACGCTCACGATGCAACTAAGGTTCAAATAATGCCACCTGACTGTTCCTGGAAAGTAAATATCGTTAGACTGATAAGTATTGGGTTGCTATATGTTCTGTGAATGCAAAGCTTAAACATTAAAGGTTTCTACAGTTTTAATATTTGAAGAAATGTAGAGGGGTTGATTTGATGTGCAGCACTGTAGGCATATTAATTAAGGAGAAATCTGTCATCACTGTGACTGACGATGATTGATTGGTGTGGCAGCGTGGGTTAGTTCTCTCCAGACCATTAGACTGATATAATAGAACCATACTGAACTACTCAAAGTTTAAAGAAATTGATCTTTAGATTGACAGTTTAATGAGCAGTGAGATTTGAAATGGCCTTTTTCTTCTTTTTCTTTTCTTTTTTCTTCTTCTTTTTTTGTTTCTAGGTTTTAGAGGACACGTGAAGATATTATCTTTGGAGGAGTTCAACTTTTTTTTTCTCTCTCTCTTTGAAAGCAAAATATGTTTTAAAAAAAAATCAACACATATGGAATTTTTGAAGACATATCAGCATTTACTTATGAAGATGTAGGTTACGGCAGAAGAGGAAGATGCGAAGTGAGGAGGCGCTTCACCGGGGGACGTTAACAGTAACAGATGGCACAGTGCAAGAAAGACGAGAAGAAAAAAAAAAACTGGAAAAAAAGAAGTGATGAAACTGAACAACAGAACTTTTTCTTGTTGAGACTTGAATTGTTAATTAAGCAACAAACTAACAAACGAAAAGCAGCAACAACAAATAGATTTCTATATACATATTATATACACACATATATATATATAAGGAAAGAGGCGCTTGTGGCTTTTACTGTACTGGACAAATGAGGGTTCAAACTTGAAGATCAAAAAAAAAAACCAGTGGAAAAAAAGAAACTATTCTATATGTCCACTGACAGACTTTCTTTCTCTTTCCCTCTTTCTCTTATTCTCTCCCCGTCTCTCTCAGTAAGCGCAGAAGTGCAGCCACTGAGGTTTCCATTAGCAACAATAGGACTGCAAATCTTTCACCCCTAAGGGACCAAAGGACCAAACATTTTTATTGTTCTGAACAGTAATATATAGTATTAATGATACTAATACTGCAAACTACTACTAATAATATTACAAGTTAAACTTAAGAAGAAACACTAGCTTCAGGTTGAAAAAAAAAAGAGCAAGGGTTTTTGATTTTTTTTTTTCCTTTCACATTTATAGTTACTGGGTTTGAAAATATTAAAACAAAACAGAAAAATGTATTAAAAAAAAAAAGTAAAGCTATACTATTTTAGTGCCGTAGAATACATGGGTTAGACATTGCTTCGGGCATGTTCAGATATATTCTTTTGCCTCTCGTTACGTCATCCGCATCGCAGCATTTCATCTCGGAAGCATGATCCGTCTGTGTTATTGTGTCAGAAGAAGAAGAAAGCAGTCCTTTAGTGCCAAAAGTGACACAGTAACCTTTTCTCAAAGCAGACATCAAAAGAACCAGAGCGTATTTAGCCAAGCGTTGCTGTCCTCTGTTCTTGCCAGCGTGTTGCGGTTCCATAATTGATCGTCATTGCGACTCATTCCATGTCATCATTAAAGCCTTGATAGTACAGATAATCTGACCATAAAGCACTGTGGTAAAAGTGCCACCCGGCTGAGCTGGATACGCAGCAGTAAAACAGCACAGCATCTGTAACTGCTTAATAAAATATACAAATGAGCCTGACAGCAGTTGTAAAAATTTCCATCGGCGTGTCACAGTGGTCCCTCCCGGGTCGTGCCCTCTTCCACTGCCAAGCTCCTCCAGCTGCTCTCAGCAGGCGGGAGCAGACTCCCCTCCTATTTCTCCTCCTCCCTCCTGCTTCTCTTTCCTCACCTCCAAGTGCCAGCATATCTCTCTCTTAATAGGGACCATCGGTTCACGGGTGCCCCAAAGCTAACCCGCAGCATAATTAGGGTAATGATAATATTGATTAGATGGGGAGCAGCACCGCAGGGCGAGAGATGCGCAATCAATTACACATTGGCATTTTGAGTGAATTGACTGAGTGACAGAGTTCATTTCTCTCTCAGTAGCTGGATGTTAGTCTTTTTCTCCCGTGTTGTCATCCAGAGTCCCTGAAGGAATCCCAAAACGCAGAACAGCAGCGTGTCCTGTGGGACACTTTGAAGGCACTTGATCGGTGTCATTATGGTAAAGGGTGGAGGCATGGAGATCTGTATATGGTGCTTAGAGGAGATTGTACATGTTCTTCAGTGAAGAGCAACTGTATTTTTTTTCTGAAAGGGTATAATAGCACAGTGCGAGCTTCTACAAAGAGAGAAGAAGCCTTGGCATTACCAGCCTTAGGAGGTCAAATTAAGAGCAAAATGATCCATCAATTAGACAGCAGCGGGCCTGTAAGTGTAGCTGCTACAGCTGCTGCTGTTTCAACAGGATGACAGCTTACCATTAGTGCTGGTCACACATGGCTCCTGTGCAGTGTGGTCACGACACATCAAGCCTGGAAGATACGATTAAATAACCAAACTTGTGTTATCTGTGCTTCTGTTTTTGCAAAGAGACACACATTCAATGCGTCCGAGATGAAATCTGATGCGCTGTTTGTTTTTGGGTTGTTGTTTTTTTCTATTTCACTCTTTGATTTGTTGAGTAACACTTACATTCTTTATTTGAATATCAGATTCATTGACTCAGTTTACACTCTGAAGCATCGTACCCCTCAGGACTCTGAGAGATCTCAGCACTCTGATCATCGCTCTAAACTTCAGACACATCAGTGCTTCAGACATGTAATCACAATACTGTCCCATACACTAAAGCGTCTTCAGATAGCATGACCACTGCGTATGCCTCTGCAGTCTGGAATAACAATTTTATCCTCCAGAATGACTCTCCAGATCCTGATGTCTGCATACGTTCATTTAGTGTTACTTTGACCCAGCAATTCTTCCTTTTTTCTTTTATTTGTGTGATTAAAGTTCACTGGATCAGTATTATAAAAAAGGGGAGGGTGCATCATTTTCAGTAGACTAGGAGTAAATGTTATCCCCGGTTACTATGTGTGTTTTATTCTGTTGCAAGCAGTATTTAGATGCGCTAGGAGGGAGTTTTTTGAAATGCCTTTTCTCGTCATGAATTGCCAAATTATGCAAGTTTAACCACCACATTTCCTCACCTGACTGAAAACTTTGTGCCAGACTTTTTTTTTTTTTAAATATACTCTTATAAATACGGTAATTTTCAGGAAATATTTAGTGGAATAAAATATTTGATTTTGTGAAGTAGTATAATATAGTAGGGGGAGGATCAGTTCAGGATGTAGTGATATATAATGTACATTTTCAGTAAAAAGGTTAGATTTTTATATATTTGCCTGAGGGCGTCGTCTTTCCCCTGAGAAGTTACTCTTATTCTCTTCTCACAGCTTTAGGGAGCTGTGATATATGCCCTCCCTTTTTCCCAGGTGATACTGGGCCATGTGAACCCAGTCAAAATATCTTCTCTCATGGGATCTCTACTGGAGATCTCTACTGGAGATGGAGTCATTAAAATGAAAATAGACTTGGCCAGAAGCTCGCATAACGTCTCGTTTTTGGCCAAAAGAGACAAATTTGACTAAATTACAATGAGTGTGCTGTTTTATATGTAGTGCATAGGCCTCTATATACATATCTATAGATTCAGAAAAGAGAAAGGGGCTACAATCCCACCAACAATAATTTGTTTAAAATATGTAAGTTACTAATTAGTAGTAATTATCCCTGTAGTTTTAAAATTAGAGTGCATGTGGTCAAGCTAAAGTCAATCTACATTATTTTCACTCTTGCATCCATTTATTTATTTATTTGTCATGTTGCCATTGTGCCCTTTTTGATCTCTGAGCATGCTCAATGGGGACTTGGGGGCGTTAAAGATTATGATTATGGTACTACTCATATTAACAGTATGATTCTTTAACTATGGTTTGAATGCTAAGGATAGTAGCTTATTATAAATATGAAATCTGTAAATTATGGAAAATCAGCACAGGACCTTTCTTTGGGTACGTACAGTTTGGGTAATGAAATGGGTGAGGGGAGGGGGGGAGGGTTTCGCTTTCTAAAGATATTAACTTTCTGGTTTCTCAGCACAAAGCGTACAAAAAGCATAGAAACAGCAGTATGGAGTCTGTGAGTAGACTTTACTGAAATACAGGGCGCAAAAAGAAGAATCTCAGTATTATTCTTTTAACCCGGAGGAGAAAATGCTGTTTACAGGTAGTAATGTTTTTCTTTTTTTATTGAAGAAAAAAAAACAAAAAAGGAGAGCGCCACCTGTTTTTGTGGCAGCGTCAGTACAGCATGGAATAACTGACAGGGAAAGCAGTATCTTTTTATAAAAAAAATAAAATAAAATTATGAAGAAAAAAAAATATGTGTTCTGTATTAGCCTGAGAAACCAAACATTTTTCCCCTGTTGAAATTTCTTAATACTTGCTGCTTAGATTACTTCATATTAATGACTGATGATTTAATAATTTTATAATTATCGGGTCAAATATGTAATTTGATGTTTATTTATTTTATTTATTATTTATTTTTCTTATTTATTTTGCCAGTTTTATTTATTTGATTTTACGGTTATGGTAAGATAAAGATATGTATCAAAAAAGAAATGCTTATCGAGGCTTTTCTCTCTTTCTCTCCTTTTTTTCCAATTTTACAATAAAAATTCAAACTGGATGTTTCGTTTCTCACACTTGCATTGAAGCGCTGAACCGCGGCGGCGCAAAGAGAGGGGGAGCTGTTGCACAAGTACTCGCTCCCCTCGGCATTTCCAAGAGCTTGAAACTTTTACAGGACGTAGATGTTGCTCACCACCTCAGAGGTCGTCTCTGACGCCGAGTGAGGAAGCTGCGGTAATTGCGTAACGGCCCTATATGGATTCAGGACTGCTGTTTAAAACCATTTTAAACACTTTTCACATGAAGCCGTTTTCTACACCTCTCACATCATCGGGAGTCGACTCTGGAATTCATCATGACTGGAATTCCAGTCGTTTTATTCTCATGTGATAACTATGATCCAACATATAGAGCTGTTTTGGTTATCTTTCACTCCGTTTTTGGAGCGTACTTCTCAGGAAATGGTTGATGGGAACAAAATACCAAAAAAACAACAAAAAAAAAACCTAAATATATAAATCCCAGTGAATAGGTGTCATAGCAACGCTTCACGGGAATAACGGGGACAAATATCATTACAATGCAGACAAGCAGGAAGCAATAAGTTGATATAAGGCAGGCACGGACCATCAGTCAAGTTTAGAAAACCGTGGCACTGTTTTGATGCCAGAAGCTAAATCTAAAGTAACATCTGTTGACATTTGAATTGTCTCCACATACATCTTGTAATGATCATCTTCATACATCGGGAGTCACTGTAACAAAAGAAGCAGGACAGCTGAGACATTAGATTCCTATTTTGAAGAGCGGAGATAGATATGAAAGAAAAAAGGGGGAGGGACAAAAAAGTAGAGCCACTGGCTCATAAAATAAATTGTCCCAATTACAATAAAGTGTGACTCTTGGTCAGTGTGCACGGTAGGCAGTTCATCTTTATTACAATCAGTTAATGAAAATCAATCCCCCTCCTGATAAACTCTTATCTCCACGGCCTTTGCGCACCCCTCGTGCCGGGAGATAATAAATTAGGGTAATATTGCCTTTGATGAGGGAGTGAATTGCAAATTATTGTAACTTTCCAAGATTTATGATGCAGATGCTTAATTTCCGAGCTGGGTTTTTCAGGGTGCCGGGGGGCCATTTGTTAAAAGTTTGGTGACATAGGCTCGTTAATAAAAATACACACTCCGACAGCCAGGTGTTCTCAGCTGTTCTCTACTGTTACAGTAGCGGAGGTGCCGAAGCCGCTCTAACTCCAAGCTTATAGGATTTGCGGGACGTTTCTCTTTGCCGTGCGATTTTTGCCTATAACAAATACATACGAAGAGGGAGATACCCGGGGGATGAAACGTGTTTACCAAAGAAGGCGCTGTCAATCATACGGCACCCCACCACCACCCCCTCCCCCATCTCTATCACACAAGCCAGAAGTGTATGATTTGATATGTAGGTCAATACCCATTCTGCAGTGAGCCAGCGGGTGAGATATGTCTAGTTGCTCGCTGTCACTCTGATTATTGAGGAGACACAGAAAGATTGA